TCCTCTAACAGATCTCGAACTGTGTGAAGAGTCAGCTATTTATCAGAATATATATTGCCCCTTATTCTCCTGGTTTGGAAGCTGCCAGGGCAGGGTATTACCATATTAAGCAACTATGCAGAATGTATAACCATTTAGCAAGGGAAAACAATGTGTAGAAAAGCACAACACCACAAATTAGCAGCAGGTAAGTGTACCTTTAAAGCTGGGGCAAGGAGGGGGGTTTAAAGTGGGGTCTGAGAGGAGGCAGGGGCTATGCTAAGTGCCCCCCCCAGTGGGAGGGCATTCCACAGCCGGGTCACGACAACAGGGAAGGGCCATGTTGTCGCACATGGCAGCATTCCCACTGGAGGGACAGGAGACAAAAGCTTCCCCAGCAGAACTTCATGGGTGGGCATTTGTGCAATATTTTCTGAGCCATGCACAGAAAGGAGACGGCAGGATCACTCTTGGGAAGTAGGTGTAAAGGGATTACTCTATGGGTGCAGGTCAGCTGCCTGTCACCTTTGCATGGGGGGTGGGGGTGGAGGTGGGCTCCAAAGCTTGCATGAAAGCCCGCCCAGAGGAGCTGCCCCGGCAGAAGATAACTGCTCCACGAAGTTTGACTTTCTCTAACAACCCAAGATGTGAGCCGTTGATAGAATCAAGGCCAGCCTTTGCAGGCGGATCTGCAGGCTGATAAGTCGTTTCTGGGTTGCTTTGTTTTTATTGCTGAAATCAGAAGATCCTTTTAGCTGAGAAATCATTGACAAAGTGACTGTGGAGCTACAGGAGAGGTGGGGGAGGGGTGGCGGCTGGATTCGGTGGCTGGCGTGGTCGGAGGGCCAGCACTGGGACCTGCCTGGAAATTCCCATGGAAATCTGCGGAAAGCAAACACTGAAAAACCCATCATGCCACTCAGCTGAACATTATTGGACTCCAGCCTCGGAGAATGACAGCAGGCGGCCAGTTTTCACAAGCAAGGTTCAGGCATGGGACACTCTGGTGCCTCCTCCTCCTCCTCCTCCAACCCCCCACCCCCACCCCATTGAAAGGCCCACTTGACAGCAGTAACACTGGGGAGGTTGTTGTTCCTCATGGCTGTCGTTCAAAGCACGAACTCCCCCCTCCCCACTCTGCAGGCCCAGACCCTCTATCGGCTGGAGAGACTCCTTTGGAACTGTTGCCAATGGCCAGTGGGACCCCCATCCAGGGTGGCCTGAGGGCCAGCATCTCAAAGGGCAGAGGGCCAACCTGGCCTCTAGAAGTGGCTCACACGGCAGGTAGCCCCAGTGGGCAGAACACAGCTTTTTGGGGAGGGCCCTGAGGTGGTGTGGCCTCAGGCGGCAGTCCTTTCTTTCTGAGAGGCAGGGTAGGCCAAGCAGATTCCTTTCTTCACCTGTGAAAAGACGCATACTGTACACACACACAAACACTGACCAAACCAGTTTGCATCCTCTGGAAATCCACTTTCAATGGCTGCATCGAAGACAATGGAAATCCACACATCTCATCTCCCCAGTGTACGAAGGTCTAGAGACAAGGACTGAACATGATATGCAGCTGTTTGGGGGGTAGGCGGGGGGAGAGTGGAATGAAGAAAGGGGTGACCACCGGCCCCAACTCCTGCTCTAACTGAGGAGTCAGGAAAGAGTGGCATGGGATCCTGGCTAGGAGCTCCACCCACGGAGCCCAGCGTTTTAGGCACCAGAAAAACCAAGATTTCCGAAGACGTGACCGTGTTCATCGGGAGTCTATAGAGGCAAAGCTGCCCAAGAGTTCTGTGTCACCTTAAAGACTACAAAGTGCTCTTTGGCGCAAGCTTTCGTGGAGGGTTGCATGCACTTTCAGAGGCAGGCAGTACAGGCACAACACTCATCTGCCTGTCAACAGGGACTGCCCTCCCCTGCTCTCCATTGAAACTTACAAGTTTTTTTCCCCCTTCCAGGTACTTTTTCCCAACAACACAGCTTACTTTCATCATGCAGCTGTGTGACTCCGTAGACACCAGAAGAAAGTTAATTGTTACAGGTAATGCTGCATCATGTGCAGCTCAGTCCTTGTAAAGAAATGACAACCGCCATCTTTCAAGTGGCTTGGAAGCTGTGCTTCTGCTCCTGAGACAGATGGAAATGGGCTGGTGAAGGAAGGAGCAGCCAAAACAGATGTAAATCAGGCCTGTTCTGGTCTCTCTGTGAGCAGATTTGAA